GAAACAAATGCGAAATCCTCTATGAAGATTGTTCGTGGGTAATGACTTTCCCTCATTGGGGTAGATATCATTCTTCCAGGAATGTAAGGAATGTAGAATGTCACTGACGCTTTACATTGTACAAATAGCTGTTATTGGTATAACACTCACTGTGTTCATTCTGTATAGGGCTGTATTCTCAGAACTTGTCATCCCTGTTACCCCCGGTGGCACCGGTTTGTATAGAGGGGCCACACTGCCTCTTTGTCAGCTCTTGGAAGATATTGTTATCAGAAAGAAGCTTATGTGGTTTTACTTGATACAGAGACATCGGAAAATGTCGTTCATATCCCCTGTACGGCGACTACAAGCGCCCAATTAACTAAAGACATTATTGTCACACTTTGAGACGAAAAAAACGCGAGCTCCACGCGCGCCATCACTGCCGCACCAGATTGACTTGAATTAAGGAGATGGGCCCGGTTGTGTGGGGCACGGAGTGATGGGGTGTCAACTAGTGAGAGTTAAAACTGTCTAACTGGTGGTCCAATTTACACATAGGTAAATCCAGAAGGGAAATGAGAAATTGGTTTGGAAACTCAACAAGTTGACACAACTACCGGGTGTTCACTTAATAACCGTTCCAACATTTAGGATTCGGCCTAAGTTTCTCTCTCAAGTGCTAATAATTTGACGAGTTGTGATGCAGCTGGATGAAGGCAGTGTTCCCGTTGAACAGAGGAGATCTAGATTCATCGTTTTCACAGAAGCAGGCTTGATGTATTTCTTTTTTAAGTCCATTGTTTTTAGACGCGTACCCTGGTCCACTGTTTTTTCAGTGTATGCGATGGCGTTGAATTGGCCGGACAATGAGGGGCAGCCTCTCGGAACTTCTGTAGTCCCTACCAATCCAGCGCTCGTTTGACAACAATTTCGTGTCAATTACAGAAGACGCCTTCAGGGCATCTTGTGTCAGTTTATTGCTACACTATGTGGATTGGCGTACGTACTTGGGTTCCGCCGGGTCCGAACAATACCAAAAAACGACATCTGGAACTGCCTGTGGGAATACTGATCCTTCATGTGGGCTACGGACCGATATTTTGCACCTATTCGTGCAAGCGGTCCCAGCCTGCCTGATGCCCGTGTTTATGCCTGTTTCGGTAACTCAGTATGGTATTCTCCTATTTTCAATGATCTATCTGCCAGCTACATATATCAGGTCCCAGCCTGCCTGATGCCCGTGTTTATGCCTGTTTCGGTAACTCAGTATGGTATTCTCCTATTTTCAATGATCTATCTGCCAGCTGTTCACATATATCAGCTGTTTGTCGACGATGCTAATTCTGTGTATATCATTGTTTCCTTGATGGTGCAAACGCAAAAGTTATCCTCGCTGGCATGCAATATAAATGACGGTGTCAGAATGTCCTTGGGGCTTCCTGTGTTGCGTGAATATCATAAGCTCAGTGCGCTTGACCGCAGACCTCGACTCTTACAACTTGGAGGCTATTTGTTGAGACATCCATGTTCTTCGCCAACTACGTGCACTTTATCGAAGGTCGTGAATCAAAACGGCTGACAGACCCGGTACTTCAGCAACGTTTTCTGGAGGAATGAATGAATCCCAAGAACCTATCAAAGGTTGGGCGGTGGCGAGTTATGCTAAAGACAGGACATAGAAAAGATTCAGAAAATATGGAAGTCCCAAGGCAGGAACGACAATTGACACCACAGCGACTGATGGCCGTGGTGATGTAAATCGCCCGGCCTTCTAGTGTGAGTAAAATAGAGGCCGTAAGGCCAGTGCAAATAGTGAAACAGATTTTAGGTAAACCAAGATGTTATGTGGTCGGTTGTGACCGTCATTAAAAGTAGTCTAGAACTGGATCGGTCTATATCTCGGGTAGAAAGGTCTGCCTAACCGGTATTTATAAAATCAATCTTCCTAAGGCACTTGTGGCACTAGCTCACCCAAGTAAATCCAATTTCCGAACGAAAAATTGGATTGTTCACATTATGGCCATAGATTTTGAGAAATTTATATGAGACACACTTAAGCCACCGGTTGTGACACTTACTAAAACACTGACTGACTCCAACTCCTAGCCTACACGTGAAACTGATTTATCCTTCTAGTAAGAAGAGTCCAAGCTGACTGGTTCTTCGGCTCCATTGAAACGCGATCAGCCTTATCAGGTGATCACTTGGTCTGAAGAAACCCTTAAGTCAAAGGTAAGCTTTCGCCTGATGATAAGTCAAACGATTCTGTCAGACCTTATTAAAACTACGATCCCTCGATCGGCTCCGAGTGTTTCCCATCCAATTGTTTGCTACATCTGTCCAATGTGGTATCCAATCAACTTTCGTGTTATTTGTCAGCGAGCACACCCACCTTTAGGAGTCCTACTTCAATAGTCGATTTTTTATTGGATCTAACCACTGATTAATGTTTCTATCCGGCATGTCCTCTAACACTCATGACCAAATCACCCAGTTTTATTTTCACCAACCTACGTAAGTGCATGGAGCCATTAAATATTCCCAGAATGCGCGCTTATCCTAAAGTATCTCTTGTTCCGTATTACCTTTACGGAAGGTCGGTAACTTGTCAGGGTAAACTGTTTGATTGTTCCCAACCATTCCAGTTGATCTGCTGATCCAACCGACAGCTACATGTTTAAATAAATCTAACTACTGAATATGTTTAAGTATCAAGAGAGCTTTAGTTACCTTGATGGTCGTCGTGAAAAGCCTAGCTACTAGGTTGCCTGAGGTACACACGTCAAGTGATATTGGGACGATAAACAGGCTAACCGTTTTGTATTACTTCAAGCTAAAAGAGCAGTTGTCTGGTCATCTTATCAGGCTACTAGCTGAAAAATTGACTAGATTAATAACGTAGGTCAGTGTTTTCCGCTCAGCGCAGCAAACGAGAAGGAAAACATGTATTCACAAGTTTTCGGAGCAGAACGAGCAAATCACCGTCACTCGATCCACTGCATTTCATTTCGACGATTAGTTTGTGTTGAAAGGCTCCAAGTTATCGTTTGTTTCAGTCAGGTGCTGTTAAATAATGCGCTAGCTAACTTTCAGCAATCGATGAGCGAAGCAATATCACGTTGAAGATTTGTATGCTAAATGTAAAAATCGAAGGGTATTCTACTAACTCCGTGCCACGTGACATTCTCTGCTTCAATCTACTTCACCTTCCTATCCTGTTATTATAGTTATAAAAAATTATCTGCCCTTTTCCCCGCTTGTGATTGGGAATAGACCTACAAGATGAAAAAGATAGATGAGATTGTCGTGGTGAATCTGACATACACTGAATGATGAATGGTCGACCAAACTGATTGGATAAGAATGAGGATAGAGTATGAAATCCACATGAGTGCCTCAGAAAATGTCCCTTCGAAAGGTTTTCAAGTGTTTGCGGGCTAACTGTTAAGCTCAGTAAACCGATCAAGAGTCATCGGATTACCAACAGATAAAAGCAATCGGGTTACCGAAATTCGAGCTAACAAACAAAGCAACTTTTAGTGAGACGCATCTTCTTCGACTGCTTCACATAATTCATGAAGTCATTGAAGTCAGTAGTGATATCAAGGTGGATCATTCATGGACGATGTTACCTTGACACTACTAACGGCTGGCTGCTTAACGTAAAGATAATTAATCTTAGACTTCTCTCACGGTGATCTATTCAAATCACGTTTTAAGAAGCGTTAAAAGTAATGAACTGACTGTTCATAAAAGTGGCGATGCGAACATAATGATTGAACCCACTCTGACGAAAGCCCATCTACAATGGTCAGTTAAAGCCACCAAAGTCCACCGTTCCAGGAAATCACTTACACCCCATCTTCACAACTGGTAAGTTCGGATGGTTGACTGTAAACTGACGCATTTCTTTTGACTGATTCTTAAGGCTTCCATGAACCTGTCCGATTAGCGTAGAGTCAATAAATTCGCCCCCGAATTCCACGCAAACCTGTACTGTATCATCTAATTTTGTCCCATCCTAGTTAAAACTACTGCAAGCAAATTCTGCTTGATCGCGCTGTAACTAACGAGAACTAATAAAGTCCAGATCGACCATTAAATAGTAGCAATAGTCCAAAAGCACAAATATACCATGGTTACTTTCATTTGGTCTGCTATTTGACCTCACACTACATAAGTATACAGGACTACGAAGCGGACCATATTGGGAGTAAGAAACCAGACCGAAACACAAAATTCACCACTCAAGAACTTCGTATTTAATAGTACGCAATAAATGGTGTCTGTGTGATAGAAAATCTGAGAACAACCAATCAGATGGCGCAACCGTGGTTGTGAAAACGAGCAGACTGATTCCGAGACCACAGAAAAGACCCACACTACCTGCATCAACTGAAGATACCTACTGTGAACAACCCTACATAGGAAAAGAACACTTCTAAACCCGATAATGTATGGTTTTTTTTTAAAGAATTGGCTATTTGACTAGCTGACCATTCAGCTATTACATGAAACCTGGCATTACCTCACTAAGTAACCAGTAGAGGAACCTCCAATCCATAAGATATCACTTATTCCTGGTTCATCAGGATAACATGGAAACATTGATTTCGGATTGTTATCCTCCATAGCTGTCGTGTTAGCTTGAAAAGATGACTCAAGTTTTCGTCAAAACAATTTAATTTTTTATCGGCTTGCCAGTTCTTCTTCCTATTATTATTATTATTATTATTATTATTATTATTATTATTGTGAAGTACAAACAAAGAATTTTCCGTCATTCATGTCAGTTTTTCTGGAAACTTACACTATTAGCGAGAAAGTTCGCAAGTTGTCAGCATGAATCCACTCGGGCGGACTATTTTCTCCAAAGCTTGCGCGCTTTATGAAGGAAACTAATCACAAGGTTGCTGACAACCATGCACTTCGTACCAGCTACATACTTCACAGTATCTTTAAAGAACTATTCAGTCAGGGGATAAAGAAGCTACATCAAGGTTGTTGACTAAACTAACCTTTGGTCTGCAGCCGCGCACCCAACAGTAGCCAAGGTTAATCATTCTACCCAATAGGAATAGGCTTCAGAGGCTAGTAATGGTAACTAGTTACAAGGAAAATGACAGCCTCACCTCCAAACTGGTAGGTATCACATAATTTCGGATATCATTGTTTCTAAAGGATCGGGAGTAAAATAATCATATCCTTAAACATTGCTATCAGTGTAGTGCTCAGTGTAGCTTGCGACAATTTGGCGACCAATCGTTGCAAGTGCATATAGCTATCTGGTTTATCAGTTGACGGAATTCCAAAGCCTAGAATTTCGATGTGTCATGGAATTCTGCCGTCTAATTCGAAGGCAGTACTAAATGGATCACATGACGAGGATGTGCAAGTTCTACTTGTTTTTCAATCTCATCATCATCATCATCATCATTGTCAGCTGTAATAACCGTGTACTCGTCGTACAGTGGTTGTAGCTGCCGAAGTTTCGTTCACGGATGATTTGGGGTGGTGAGGGGTAGGTAGCTGCGCATTGCAGGCGGGAGCTGATAAATTGGTGCATAAATCCAGCACTGTCAGTGGGCTGTCAAGTGGGGGGGGGGTTCGAAAAGAACTTATGCATTGAAAGCAATAGCTTGGATGCACGAGCGCCATTGAGGGCACGACTGAACCATGTCTGACAATGTCTCTAACCATTGGTGTGGCCCGTCTCGGGGTCCCCATCCAGGAAGGCGTATTAGTGCACAAGTGATGATAGTCATAATACAAATCAGAAGGTGAATGTGCACTAATAAAAGTTTTTGTATGGTTGCGACACGTATGAAAATAAATGCAGTGCGAAAATGGGAGCAAGTCAAAAAGGGAACTTATCGGATGCGAGAGTCCCTTGGTGAAAGTCCGGACGGCGGGAACGTGTTTTTCCCCGCAGTTAGACTGCTACACGTACTCCATGGTTGTCCGTGGACTTGTGGAGAGGTTTACGTCCCGCTCCCTGCGCGCGCGCGAGTCTGTGTGTCTTGACTGGGTTTGGTTTCTCTTTATGTAGGTCCCAGTGCGTAAACGTGGGCGCGTCGGCACATGATTGGTCGCTACGCTGACTAGGCGGTGCAGACAATCGATGTCCGATGAGTCAGCTTAATGCGACGTGTTTGTGCGTGTGAGAAAAAAACAAGCCTCGCGATCCAGTGAGCGGCTGAGTTGAACAGTCAAGTATGTGGGTGACTGGGTCGCTACAGGCTGCAATGACCATCACAACTGAGTTTTCTGGTAATGGCTTTTATACCTCGCTGCCAAGTCATTGTTTGACCGCCTCTGGCTCTCTTCCACCCTTCACGTGGTTGTGCAAAAAGAGCCCTTCGAGGAAGTCGGTCGACTGGCATACGCAACACGTGCCCAAGCCAGCGCAACCTATGCAGTATGATAAGTTCATCTATGGAGGGTGAGTTATTTCTTCCGAATACCATTCGACGTACTTCAGAATTGATGATCCGTTGTTCCCACCAGATTCGAGCACCGCTCCGAAGACATCGATGGTCAAACGCGAAAAGTCTTTTGACGTCCTCGGCGCGCAGCGGCCAGGTTTCTGATCCATATAGCAATATGGAGCGCACCGCAGCATTGTAACTCGACCCTTACTGATATGGCTGCCCAGGTAAACAAATTTTTCTACTACCTCAATCGGTTCATCCGCAAGCATGAGGTTATGGTTCGAGCCCACCCAGTCTTGCAGTAGCACTTTACACTTTGCAGGTGTGAATCGCATGCCGAACCGCGAGGCAGAATTATTTAGATTATTTAGTATTGTTTGCATTATCACGAGGTCGGATTCCAGAAGAGCTATGTCGTCTGCGTACTCGATATCTGTGAGCGGAGGCCCAGGGAACAGTTCGACCCCACAGGCATTAGAGGCTGGTAGTGAGTCTTCCATGGTTGTATCGATGACGAAGTTGAAGAGGAAAGGTGAGAGAGGACAACCTTTCGGACACCACTTGATGTGGTGAACTCAGGAGAGAGCTTCCCGTAGACCTTTACACGGCCGCGGGAGTCGGCATACAGCGCTTATGCACACTCCAGATCTCGTTAGTTCTTCTCAAGCTTTGTTAACATAATGGCTTCTGGATGAATCCCGAAGTATTTAGCTTAGTTACTTACTTGTTGCTTAATTACTGTTACTTACAAGTACTATGCATATCTACTTAAGTATGATGTAAGCTTACTGGTATAGCCTGATGGATATTCGATTATCACTGTCTCGAATGTTATCTCTCCACTGGCACGAACGTTCATTCTGGACCACGCCGTCGTTGGGGGTGACCCTCTAGCCGTGATATGCACACATGATGACAAAAGTCAACTTCAATATGGAAAACGTGAAAATCTTGGCATACGGGGACACGGGGCAGGGAAGGGAATTTCTGAAGGCATGATATTATACGGCTAATTCGATCATCCGGTGCATTGTACTGGACCCAAGTTACGCACCACTGCGTGCAAAAGACCAATTCCTCCACCGGAATACTCAAGGAGGGCCAAACATCGGATTCACAAACCAAGAAGCAAGGAACTGCTTGGAGTCGGATCAACAAAGGTCACAAGCGGGAACCCAGAGGGGTCAACGACAGGGTTTCACTCCAGCATCGATCAGAGCTTGAGGGCACGGGAGGCCAGGCTCATAATTCATATGGTCATCGATCACTCAGGACACAGGATAAGAGAACAACCAGTGGAACCGACCGACCAGTCGTGATCGAAGGTCAACCGCGGCTAGCAGCACGCATGTTAATACATACACAGCACTACTGAACGTGCAATCACCAGCCCATCACTACGCTCCACCGCGCTCCCTAACAACGCACTGATGATGTCACCTCGCTTGCCCAGCTCAGCGAACAAACCAACGACCATCTTTGAGAAGTGCTCGTCAAATTGGGTTATCTCAACCACTTTATAAGAGCTCGCATTGCGTGTTGAGGTCGTGTATGATTCTGGATAGTGTTTACCTCGTCCTTTTTGATATCCGGGATTGTCGAACCTAAGTGTCACTCAAAGTTCCTTATCAGGAGCCTCAACAGTCACTATGAAATGTTGGCTCAGGTCAGGCGGTGTTTTCAAAATTAACCCGATGTGTACGTAAAGCGAATAACCTGTCACGGGGAGTCTCGAGTTACGTCCAAAGGAGTTCGTCTTTTCGACCGCATCACTTGTATTTGCTTTTCTGCTCAACTGCTCGTCTTCGGTACATGACTTCATTCGATGTCATTACCAGATGTGGACACTGACTGGTGAGACAAACACAAGCATCTTCGCATGATAACCTTAAAAACTGCTCCACAGAATGGTCACAGTGTCTACTTATCGTCGGATTGGACTATTTCAGCAACCGAATTAGTAATCCTCCCAAGAATGGTATCCCATTTCAACCGTGGTCACATGATGACAATCTAAAGTTTGACCTTTATTGGAAAGATTATTTGATTGTTCCTTATTTTCGTGAGCATTTACTAAAACCTTCAACTGATACATGATCGCGCCGGGATAAGCAAATTCCAGATGATGAACGGCACAAACATAGTGGTTTTAGAAAAGCTGCTGTAATGTGAAACGGGGCTCGATGATATCGTTTTCGTTCCAAATTTCAGACCAATGTTCCAAAAGGTTGAGTAGATTTAATGGGTTTTGAGAAGTTTGTCGGCGATTTATGAATTATTTTGTGTTTCCTAACCCACTACGTTTTAAACTACAACTTTACCTTTTTGACATGTGAATGGTTCCTCAATTTTCGATAGGCAGTCAGTTGATTGAACTTTGTAAGGTGTGGTTGCGTAGGATATAACTCATTGGAGTTAACAATCTGGGAAGTATGGGGTTAGTTTCTTTAGAGATGAGAAACTCAGTAGAAAGCTCACTAGGAATGCTCTCCATGGACTAATCCGGGACTTGACACCTATTAAGAAGCTCCACAACGGTAGTAATGTAATCTATTTTGGTGACCAAGAAAGTAAGAATTATGCTTATGTAGTTTTTCCGAAGGCGGCTTCTACACCCTGATAATTTTAGTTGCACCGGTTTTCCTCCGTGACCCCCACGACGAAACTGAAATTTTTCTATTGTCCTTGGTTCTCTGCATTGGAGATTTTCATCTGCGAACTTGTTACGTTCTTTTTACTTGGAACTCTACTCTGTGCATCCCTTTTGGTCAATCAGTGGTTCATTGAATCTGCTAGTGGGTTGACCCATAAAGTAAAGTAAATATTTCGCCGAGTCTGCTGTAAGAAACATATTCGCGTGCAAATGAGAGCATTTGTTCTGCGAAAACTTATTAGGGCTTTTTTACTACATCCGATTGTGTTGGCGAAAGGGATGCGTAATGCACAGCTCCCATAGTATGCTCCGTTTTAAAGGTTAATACAAATTTTCAGATGATACTAATTGACGGGATGTAGATAGCCTAGTGTTCACTGTCTGTGAACTACCTCTTTTAACAGTAAGACTTGTTGGAGTTTGGTATGCGGCTGCATCACGCTTTATAGACTGTCACATGTATGAATTAAAATTTAAATCGTTCAGCTGTAGCACCCTCTCGGTGCCTAGCTGCCATGCCACACGAAGGAAGCACGAGGGACGGGATACTGCCAGGTCACGCAAGTCTAGACAGGGGAAGTCGAGAGGCAGAGATCGGGTTCGAACCACAGACCTACCGGTTAGTAAATTCGCGGTCGCATCATTTGGTCCATCTTATGTGTATGTATGAATACCTTATTATTCAAATTAAGTGCTCTTTAGCTTCTTCGGCTATCACGTAATCGAGTTGTTACATAGTTACGTGTCGATCCCAAGTTTTTCCATCTCCATGGTCGATAACCAATCCAAAAAGCAAGTTGTTAAATTATGGTGTATTTTGCAATTGGCATTGTCCATCATGCCACAGTAATATTAGACTTAAAAACAAAGTGAACGCAAATTCCGGTATCATTGCAAACGTTTCCCCAAAAGCAAACCTGTACCCAAACTGACCGCCAGAAAGAAAGAAAACTTTCCTGGGGTGAGATAGAACTCCTCCTTTGTACGAGAATTAGAATCAACAGTGGACAATGGTTTCTAAAATGAAAAAAGCAAAAACACACAGTGGCAAGGATTGAAATGACAATCCGGTCTATAAGATACGGGCAATTCAGTTCCCCAAAACAAGGATTCGCCGTTCTAGAAACGTAACGTTTAAACGGTTTTTAAATGTCTTTTGCCAGACCTTTCACCTAGTCATTCTAGAGAAGGAGGTCAGGATGCGGCGATGTAGCTTCCGAATAATGCAAGAACCATCTAAGGAGACAAAATACACGGACAGTAGAGTCAATCAATAAAACGCTCAACAACTGCGTATACAGACTAACTAAACGGATAGTAAACTCAAACCAGCTGTTCAAGTAAAATGATGTTTTATACAATTTATGCCATGCTGATATTGAAACGTACAGACCTGTTCTCTTTGTTCAGATCCTTCTCGTTCTTTGTTGCATTTATCCTCAGAGTCGCTTTTTTGATTCACTTTGTCAAGACCATGTGGTCCCTCTCCTTTCAGAATGACAAAAATAAACTGCATGACTCTCGCTCCTTGTTTGCACAGGAGTTTCCAACATACTATCCTTTTTTAACACAGCTAATAAAACCACTCCTTTACTCACTTCATCCATAAAAGATCAGTATAGACCTGAGAAAATACAGTTGGCTTTAACGGCAGACTTAACTAAAACCCAACTCAATCCTTTGAATACGAAAATACCATCGAGGTTGTACTTGGATTTTCCTATCCCTGTTCAGATTAATTTTTCTTGTTGCAAAGAACTTGATGACCACTACTCAGACTGTTCCAGCCCAAGTTCCATCTACCCGAAAATCTCATTTAAACTTCATACAACTCTACGCCATCTGTCCCTGGTCAGTAATCTCCACAATCAACCTGTTTTAGCTGAGTACTTCGACATGGCCCTTGAACGTAAACATGTTTATGTCAAAGCGTGTTAGAATTACACCTAATAGAGAAGTAAAGCCCTATTCTACTCACTCAAACTAATACGTTTATCCGCTTGCTGTAAAGCAATCGCATTATTCATTGTAAATTGTACCATGACCTGCTAATTACTCTGTTCTTCTTCGTCTCACTTTGGCTCCAAGCAGAATTAGTCCGACTCCAAATCGGTGTTTCGAACTATGAGTAGCTCGAGCGTGTTTACCAGTGGTTGATCAGATGGTCGTTGACATATTCGCCGGGCTTGGCAATTGGTTTGCAAACGTTTAACAGGCTCTAACACGCACTGACGATGTCTCCTCGACTGGGGACGAAACGTTTGCAAGCAAATTGCCAAGCTCGGCGAACAGACCAACAACCATCTGATCAACCACTAGCTAACGACTCCGAGTGTTGGGCGAAACTAGATAGTTTCACTTTGTGATTTCTTAAAAATTTAGCAGATGCTAGAGGATTGCCACAAGAGTTCCGGCCTATGTGGTTCAACACAAGCAAAGGGATCTGTCCAGATCCGTTTACGCTCCACCCTTCAGAGACTATACTACTCTGCATCCTCTGAGATCTAGCAAGTAGGCAACCTCTCAAAATATCTCTTCCTTGTCCGGACTTGGCCAATAGCTTTGCTTGGTTAGATACGTTGGAAAGCTGTTCTGAAGAAACCTGCACTGCAGTAGCACTTATTTCACCGGAAATTAACCTCGTGTAAATTCGAGCCACAGTGAGTGTAATTTACCACAATTGTTGGGTTATATTCCACTGCTTTCTGTGTATTTTTTTCTTGAGAAAATAACACACTAACGGGTCGTATGAATGTATGCAATGACAAATGACTAGAATCGAAACGATGATAAGAGTTAAAGGCAAATCACACAGTAGGGCTTACAGGCTGTCGGCAGTCTGACTCTTGAAGGTAGCTTGTGCAAAGCATAACCAGATCGCCACTAAAGGTATAAGTCTACAGAATTTGGAATACGTTCCAGTAAAATACCGAAAACCTCGAACGTACGTCACTGCTTTTTTGACATCAGATTTGCTGGGGGGTAATGACAACACTTATCAAACCATGGCCCGATCAAGTCTGCCCATTGTTGTGTTTCTGGCTGGGGAATATTTGAAGGTGTTTTTTTTCTTGGACAAAGTAATTTTAAACTCGTCCTTTTAAATGCGGTTGGAGCAAAAATAGACCAACTGGAAAGTTTTTAAACTCAAAGAGAAACTTCTTACTGGTTCACCAGTAGTCGAGCTCTTTGTCATTTTTGACAACATTTCAAGAAGAGAATCGGTTCCTTCGTCAGGTGTGGATGCCTCAATCCAACCCAGGCTCCTATCCACCGCTGCATGCCATCCGGTCAACATAACCTGGCGTGCATGTGGGCCTAGCCTGGACGAGAAGGTATGTTTGGTCCCACTTTCTGACAAAGGGTGAAGACGAAGTTTCAGCAAACCTGTTGGATCTATCTGGACGGCTAAGGCGGCTGCCACCGCCGCACCCAGGGCGGTCATCATCTCGGAGTGGTTGTGCCGGCGAACAATCATGTCTGAAGTTTGAAAGGGACAGAATCAACATTTAGCCTGTTGGTAACTGCAACATCATGGGATATGCACAGACAAGTTGGACACAATACGAAACTGCCGAGATTTACTGAGGCTTAGCAAAGTTCCTAGCAGGAGCAAGTAAAAATCAGAGATGGTGATATTTCTTTCTCATTTAAAAACCCACTGGACTTCGTGTACAGCGCCTTTTAGAGTACATTCTCTCTTCGCTCGAATACTTCAATACTGAATAACTCTGACTACTGGTGACATAATATTACGAAAGTCAGTAGTGATAAAACCATATCCTGAAACCAGTAATTAGCTTGTTGAGGCATAGTCTAGTTCATGTTTTGCTCACCTTACTGATACGTGAGGCTTGCTCATTCCAGCTACGACTGTCGATTGGCTAGACCGTGAAGTTTCTCAGACCTTGACATTTCGTGTGCTGTCATTCCACACACTACTGGCCCGGAAGTCACGGGTTCGAAGCTCCCCAGGGTTTTGTGAGAAATGCACAATTCCCAATAAGAATAAAATAGCTGTATACTACTTCTTGACTTTTCATCATAGACCGGCTTCACTTGCAGGATGGAATATCAATAGGAATTCACCATAATTCAGTCGGAATTTACGCAAGCTCCACTGGTTTCTTTAGCCGATGCCATCCACCTGCGCAATCCTCATCTCTGTCCAAATCTGCATTAACACTCAGATTCATCTGCCAAACGAGGTTTACTTGACGCCGACGGTTCCATTACCACACTGTATAAGTCACCACGAAACAGCATATATTATTACGACCTCCTTTCATTGGTTTTTTCCACCCACTAAGCTCATATAAACTCCGTTGTAAATTTCCCTTAGACCGCATACAGAAAGTACCCTCGTGTGATCAACATGCGTTTAAAACTATTAAGCAGTTTTCCAACACAGTCTGCTACTTTTGCTGAGATTTCAGTAGCTTACAGTCGTTAACGCAGAAAATCTACCAGACAACTGAAGTAGGTATCAGGTCTTTGCTCTGTTCTTTGCTCTTTACTTTTTCCCAATAGCCCTATCAAAGTGAGTCAACTCAGCAGTAATGTAGTGGAATACGACGAATTTTCGACCTGGTTTTGAAAATAAAATAAGCCAAAACCTACCCAGTATATCAGCCAAACTTTGCATCAAAACCGAGCTTTTAGCTAAACCTCCATCAACTACAATTTCACGGGGTTTAGTCAACGTTGCGCCGGATCTGGTACCCCCTGACGCCAAGGTAGCCACACGTAGCACATCGTATGTCTGATAGACTGAGGAACGTATTGCGGCCAGGATCATATCACCATTTTCCACATCGGCTGTTAGACCAGCGAGCACAGCTCGAGCATTTTCTTGCCACCATGGACATAAAAGACCGGAAAATGCCGGAACAAGATAACAAGGATCCGAACCAGTTTCTTCCGTTTTCTCGTACGCACGCTGGGCGAGTGACTCTAGCTCCTTGTAATCAGTGAACATTTTCATTTTGGATTTGAGCCAGTTTACTGTAGCTCCAGCAAACGCAACCGAGCCCTGTAAAGATCGGGAAGTGTACACTTAAAACAGTGCATCAGAAAACGATGGTGTGTCAAAAAGTTTCCAAGGTCAGCGTTTTATTATATACTGTGTAGTTCAGCATAATCAAGACAAATCCTGAATATCCAGTTATTTCAATAGTGTTAACCTATCAAGACCGCTTCGTGGTACTCATGACCTTAAGAAGCCGTCACTCACCAGAGCTCAGCCTGGTTTCATCACTAAAAACTTCGGCAGACGTAGGCGAAGCTCCGTGCATTGTCTTCCCTACGTAGACCACTCAGTTCGTTAGTCCAGTAACATGGGGAGCATATATACCACCATTAGATTAATTGACCATGGCGTTCAATACACACAACTTTTCCATAGCTGACGAAACAGCCTTGAGTAGCCTAGCTTCTCAGGCTCTAGGAATATTCAGGCAATTCCCGACAAGCCTACGTGTTATAAAAACGAACTGAGCTAAGTGGTCGTACGAAAATCTTGGTCCTCAACGCAGTCATCCACCCTGTCCTGATTCATACCTGGGAAACACGGCGTCTACAAGCAGAAACTATCCGGAAGTTAAAGGTTTTTTTTCGGGGGTCTCCGACGCATGATGAGAATTCGCAATCTAGAGGTATGCAAGCAGGAAAGATTGTCATGACAATACGTCTAAAAATTGGGAACTGAATTGGGTTTATCGGCTGGTGATCAGGTTGCAGTTGATCTGTTTACCGAACTTGGTGATTGGTTCGCGTGGTGACGAGACATTTGCAAGCCTTTGGCCAAACTCGATTAGCAGATCAGTGGCATCCGACCAGCAACCAGTAACGCTTTCATGACCTACCGCCTCTATCCCCACTCGCTCAACGACGGCGGCTGTGGTAGTTTTGGCATTTGTTACGCAGAGGCAATATCGAAGTCACCAAACAAATCCTAGCCTGCATGCCATGTCAACGAAGACGCGTTCGTCTCGGAGGACAATTGAATACCTGTCTCCGTATGGCCAAAATTGGGCAGCTGGGCCTCCATGTGCTCCTTAAGATTTGTCATTGGGTCGGACACTTGACTGCGGTTTGCGCAGGTTTGGCGGCTGACTGCCATGCCCAAACAACGCGTTTCCCAGACATTTCTGGAGCCAAGTGTCAGGAGATAGTCGTCCGAAAGTAAAGCAATTAGGTAAATCCTATCTAATTTCAGATCCAATTTCTCTCCAAGGACGAGTGATTACTTAGGATAACTAATACAACCATTCAAAAGTAATTGACAGTTGACTATAGTGAGAATCACATATAATCGGACCAGCATATCAAATGCACCTGACTGGTAGGCACGTATGTGATCCCTTTGACAACTATTTGTAACTGTATGTCAGAGAATCATGAGATTCATCTCATCCAGGCTCCCTGACGAGCTCAAATAGAGAAAACTGGCCATACATAATTCAGTCTCTCGTTATCACACCACACTTTATTCGTGAAGATTAACCTTCTATCCTAAAGTACCACGGGAGACCTGACGCATCATGTGCGTCCAAGGTCCAAGGTTCTCTGGTGGAGAACGCACCCTCCAATAGTCCAGTTGGGCAAGCTACTCACTTCCGGCCGATATTTCCAGGGCATCAACTCATTCGCTGCTCACAGAAAAAGGTTTGGTTCATTCCTTCGATGTCTTATTCGGAAAGGAGATTGTGCATTAGTCTTAACAGTAAGATCGTTCTGAATTGGTGATATCTTACAGTGATAATAATAGCAGGCCGTTTCATAATTACTTAATGTATGCACTTTTAACACAATGTGAAATTTAGGCCCATGCGCAATTTCGACCACATAGCGGCGGTGAATTTTTGAAGTTTGCTATCAATGCTGGCTTTCATCGCCGTGACTAACGTGCAAAGGGATAAACTAGTCGAATGGCTACTGTTTCAGTGGTTGGAAGCGTGAATTGTTTACTCTTCGAGGAACCATGTGGGCGCACAGTAGAAACGAAATGGATCATTCCCTACTGGATCATACGGGAATCGCATACCTCAAGTGCATAATGAACTTGGTTTTGTGCACCCATCTTAAATGCCACGGTTGTGAGGATCCCGTTGTCGGAGAAGAACGGAGCTGTTCCGATATCCCATAACATGAATGCACCCGTGCCATATGTAACCTTCACCGTAGGGCCGAAAGACATTGTGGGCGACGTTGCCCATGTCTGTGCAACCAGAGAGGCTTGTTGATCACCTAGGATGCCGCAGATCTTCACATCTTTCAAGGCACATTCAGGGTCTGAAACGATGCCCACAACTTCTGCCGAAGAAGTAATCCGTGGTAGGATGGCGGAGTCAATTCCAAAGAACCTAATGGATACCAAAATCACTTTCAGTTAGGTTGAAAACATTCATTTACATAAAACCAATATGTGAAATGTGCTTTTTATAGACTCCAGACATCTTGAATCCTCTTCCTAGTTTCCAACAATGTAAAGGCCTTAAATGACTCTTTGGTTGAATCTTGAAAAGTCACATTAATTTCGCCTGAACAGTCCACATCCTACCCGAGATTCTGTCTACAGTTACCACATGGCCATCAATCTGAGAAAGTAAGTTTTTTTGCCGATTTCGCCGTGAGCTGATAAATTTCTAACCAGTGAATAATAATGCTTTCGATAGGGTTTATGCATACAGCTTCATCAAATTTATCCATTTGTCCGAATTCCTGTGTGTACTCTGGTGTTGGATTCGCTTCTGCACAGCTGGAAAAGGAAGGTAACTTGCTTTTTTATTATACGTCTCCGTTGACAGCTGATATAGTGACCTAAAACATGAATTTGACATCCGCCCGCGATTTGCGCCAGAATTACACGAAAATATAATGGTTCCTTGGAATTATTTAAACTGTAAAGTAGACCAGTAACACAACTACGATTAATGTTGACCAAATAATGAACTCCACTTTCTGATCTACAAACACTTACAAATCCGTGTTATCGGAGGTAGCCTTTTCGATATCCTGTTAGCAGGCCTCAAAATAAACGGGATAAACAACGTTGATCGGAATAGAGTGTGGTGTAATCAAGCTGAGCATTCCAGGTCACCATAACTTATCCTTTGGCTAAACTGACGTCGATTTTGTCGATCCATTGAATATGCGAATCAACCTCCTGGCTGAATTACTGGGGTTATTTTGATAAAATGTATTTGGAAACAGGACTAGGAGGTTGGAAAAACAGTGTAACGCCATTCGTAAACTCGGCAATCTGTTAAAGCAACATCCCTATCATTTGTAGCAGGATTCGTTAGCGCAAACAGGGTACGAGAAGTTTGTTTGTGGTCGTAGTGGAAATTGGTGATTCGACTGGGGATCTGGGTGGATATTATCGAACAGAAACGTTCCGTACGTCGCATTCACGACATTGTGAGTAGTTCTGTGTGAAGTGGAATTTTTCAAAATTCAGTAGGCTACTCCATTTGCAAAGGAAACTCAAGTTATTAGGTTGGTTGTATTTACCGCATGGTAAAACACAAGCCAATTCGATTGCACATGAATACCTTAGTCAAGGAGGACGGAAGAACAAAATTGGAAAGGCGATCGTTAGTAATCTGGGTGACTGGATGAAGCCTTGAACAGCTTGAAGCTAGAAGTTTATGGCTTCCACTTCAGACCAGTCTGCCTTCTCACACGGTTTGTTTGTGAATCTAAACGTTATATAAAAAAACATCACTGAATTTCTACAGGACCAAGACTTCGCCAAAATAGTAAGCATCTCCACGGCCAGACATTTAAACTTTGGAATATAAATCAAGCTGAATTCCATGGGTTCAAAAGTGTGTCTAATGAATTCTGTAAGTGATCCCTACGGATAACCAAAATTAAGCGGTTGTTTCTCTTCAAAAGTAGCTTCTCCGTTCAATCAAGATAATAAGAATGTGCCAAAAGTTTTTTGTGCATCCCAGTAACTGTTGACATTTCTGAACTTTCAGACGCAATTTATAACCTACTTGCATAGTTCGGGGTCCCAGTCCAGGGTCTGCAGATTGAATAGTAGCGTACGACTGGCGTTGGTTACGTCTGTCACATGACTTTGACCGTTTGTCAGTCGCCAGATAAGCCAGGTGTCCACGGTGCCTGCCAGCAATCGACCGGCGCGAGCAGCCACCGAGACAGCTGTACTGTTTTCCAATAACCAACAAAGCTTGAGAACCGAAAAGTAGCTATGAATGGGTAATCCTGTTTTTCGCTAAATGGGGTGAAGTGAAGTGAAAAAAGACGCACCACTATTGATTAGAAAAATAGTACAATAGTCATCGATTCTTGATTGTCTTGTCAGAAGAAAACAATACTTCAAAAAGTTGCCATTCATGCCTGTAGTATTAGCGTGTGCACAGTTGCTATCTGGTAGTGCTCAAAGAGCCTACCGTAAAGTTCTACAAAGACGAGGGGGTGTGCAGGGCATCTGGGCCTAACAGATACATGCATTTCCAGCTTATGTAAACGAGCCGTAATACCAAGGCATGGTTTTTATTTCAAATGCGATAACGTAAACAAATGAAACCAAAGGGTCTGAAGGATAACTTTGTACTCTAACGGCGGCTATTAGGAATCTTGAAGACTTGGTGATCGTCATTTTGGTGACAACAATGATGCGAAAATGACGATGGGTAGAAATGAGACGTCAAGTTGTTACAATGGGCCATGGAAGAATTGCAGTCTACTTTAGGCTCCATTATGTTTGAGGTTCACCCAGTCACTATGACAGGATCGCCCACGCGCGCTTTATTTAACTGCAGTGCCATGCGGTCACTGGGCGAATGTTAGTACGTATTGAAACTCTCTCTTAACGCTGCCAAAAAGGAGCATTCGCGACCATTCCCCTCTTTATAAAGGACCAAGCGAAAAAATATGGAATGTAATGGGGTATCGTATCCATGCAAATGCAAACACAGCAGTAGCTACTGTTTTCAAAAATGTCTAACGGGACGTTTCTGTTGGAATTTCTCACGAATGTAGAAATGAGATTTGCCTTTGGAGGACTCACACAACTGACAATAACTGTATTCGGTGGCTGTGTAACACAGCAAATTGCGCTAGTCACTGCTTCTATCCACTGGAGTTATTCCACTAAGCTGTATTACACATTTGACTTCGGCCCCATGCTGTCAGTCCAAAGGGTGTATCTTTCTTGGCAGCAGCCAACCCGGTGCAAACAAGAACAATTTGGAACGCTAAGATTCCTTTCAGTTTGGCGGACTTTGCGAAACTATTCTTCCTTGGGAAACAGAACCAGTAGATAGCCAGATTTAGTATTCTTATCCACTTGGGTGTATCTACCTAACAATAATGGGGTGCCTGGGTAACAACAGTGTTTACTACTTGTCGATGAGTTGATCCGACGCGAACTGACTTGCAATAAATTTTTGTTTGGCGATTAGCCGTTGAAGAAGCTCTTTGCGAAACTATTCTTCCTTGGGAAACAGAACCAGTAGATAGCCAGATTTAGTATTCTTATCCACTTGGGTGTATCTACCTAACAATAATGGGGTGCCTGGGTAACAACAGTGTTTACTACTTGTCGATGAGTTGATCCGACGCGAACTGACTTGCAATAAATTTTTGTTTGGCGATTAGCCGTCTCGGTGAAGAAGCTCCTGGAGCTGTCCTGGTCAGCGATGGTTTAAATTCGCTCAATACAGTATGGAAACATCAAGTAAGGAATGTCGGCATTTCGAACATTTGCCTAAAACCTCTAATCTTATGCAAAATACACAAGAAATTAAATTATATAGAGCGAAAACGAAGGTTCCAGCGTGGTAATTGTGGAGAAAACAGAAACCACCACAGCAGAACACTACTGAAACACCAATACAGTAAACACCGCTGAGCGCACCCTTTCGGAAGGAAGTTGGTTTAAACCAACTGTACACAATAATACATCATTGATAGCAAATCGCTCCGGAAACTGCGATCCATATTGCTTTAAGAATACAAAATAGTCTTCATCTGGACACTCGTAACTGACCGATGCTTGGGGTGAAAGAAACACCGGCGCTGCGCAACAAGAGTATTCCACTACGCCCCATTTTGGTACTGAACAAATTTGCTTGCTACCAGCTTGTCCGTCGGCTAGCACAAGCACGAAATCCATTTCGGAAAATACTCAACGAAATTTCCGAACTGATTAGCAAGGTATACATTACTCCA